AGTTTTTTATACATATATATAAAAAGAGATAAACGTGACAATTTTACCAAGTAAATTCATTTCTTTGTCACGAATGCATGAAATATATAAATTTTTACAAAATAGATGAGAAAACTTACATTGAGTGGAAAGATCTTTACACTGATTTTATTCTTCATGTCTCCTCTATATTTAAGATACCCCTTTAATATTTCAATAATTAAATTTTTTCCAGTAACAAATGAATTACACAGTGCTAAATAAATGTAAATTTTTAATCAAGGTTCTTAGAAATCATTCGAGATAAAGAATCGTGAATGAAGAAAGAGAAGACGGCGTTTGCTTCACATACATATGTGAGTCTGATGGTCGTCCTATACATATATTTAACGTTCTATAAATATCTTTAGCTCCGTCCCGAATCGTCTGCCTTTTCTCGCTTTTCCGTCTGCAATATGTTTTTTATTTAAGAGAGAAGAAAAAGAAATAAAAAATCATTGTTTTGTCTAGGTTTTGTCGTGTGATTCAGAAAAGTTACGGCCATGCAAAGTTTATATTTTTATTCATCGGTGAGCCGCGCTTTCTCTTCCGCGAACGCAATCCGCTGGAATTGCATGAATCGCATACGAGAACCAAAGGAATGTATCGACAATTTCAACAGCATTATTGGCAAGGATGCGCTCTATTTGTGATGTACAGGTAATAGAAATTTTGCTCGAAAGAATTTTACGTATAGATTAATGCTCTCGCTCTTGTCGAAGAGTGACGAATCGATTCCGCAATCGGATCAAAAAATGTGTCATTAAAAAATAATGTACGAAAAAATTGTAACATTTTCTGCATATTATTTCTGTAAATATAATTATATTAAAACAAAAAATCATTGTTCGAAAGTTGAGCTATTAATAACCGAAAGCACACATTCCATATATTCACATTCTATATATATATATATATATATATATATATATATATATATATATATCTATTTAAATTTCAAGTAACGTGATCGCGTAAAAAGTTATAATGCAATTTGCTGAATGACAAACAAGTAACATCATATTCGCATTATTGAAAAATTAATGAATCCAGCAAAGTGCGACAATGCTATACTTTGAATAATATATCTAGTTTAAAATCGCTGCCAAACGGCATTAATCGCGCATAGAAAATAATCGCGCATATGAATATTAATATTACGAGCTTGACATGTATATGTTCTTGCAAAGAAAATATATGTATGAAGAAAAAGAAGAGAGAACTAGAAAGACAAAAATTGTCTTTTCAATATATATAATTCTTAACAAAATATATATTTATAAGCTTATATAACAGTGCCTTTTATTAATTCAATTTTTATTTATTAATTGAAATTTCCATTTTGAAAGACTGAAAAGATAACTATTCTCAATTTCTATATTCACTGAAATAATTTTTATTTCAATCAATTGACAGTTCTTCCTATATTATTTAAATCTATAGATAAAATTGAATTTAATTCTTACCATTCTCAAAATAAACACACAATCTTTATTATTCATTAAATTATTCATAAAATTAAAAATGCATACGCTTGTCTTACACACATGCATATACAATAAACAGCAAGCATATACACAAACTAATTTCTCATTGTCAGTCAATGTTCCCTTGTCAATGAAAAAATATAATTTGGTTTTAAAAGTAACAATAGAGGAAAAATTTGATAATACTCTGCAACATAAATTTTTATTTCCTTCATCATGCGCGATTGGTCAAATTTCGGAAACAGATAATTAGTGAAAATTAGCATTATACGCGAATAAAATACAATGGAGATTTCTAAACCAGGGATTTCAAACTCGATACTTTAGCGGGGCTACATGGCAAAAGGAAAATGGCTATTCATATCCTTTTCCTCTATCCTTTCCATAAGATCACGTTATGGCCTGCAAACGAGCCATGGAAAAGAAAATGTACCAGGTTTAGCCGACGAAGCCATTGTTTGAGATGCCTGCTCTAAACCCATTTTTATCTTGAAATCGTTATTTTGACAATTTTATCTCTTTCACAAAATCGTGAAAATGTTCCGTCCCTTACGGTAAATCCTCTACAAACAACGTAGAATCAGAACTTGATTTGATATTTTTCGTTATCAGATTGTAAATATAACAAATAAATGTGTATGCAGAACAAACATTACTATATATATATATATGAAAATATCAAATAAAAATATAAAGTATCAATTTTCCATGAAATATCCATTTTCTATTTTAGTTTATCGCGTAATTACTTTACAAAATATATATTTTTGTAACTTGTCTATTTTTCTTCCATGCTAGAATGATGTATTTATAAAGTACAAAGAGAAGTTGTATAGATATCTAAATATCATTGTTGAACGATGAAACAAACAAATTGTATAATCGATTGTGAGTACCGTGCGTATATATTAAAATACATATATTTGTACATACAAGATAATGCAATCGCTAATTTGGGAAGAGACAAGAAAAGGCAAAATCCAAGCTAAAATCGAAATTAAAAATGATTCTTTTCCAGAAAGTATGAAACTTGAATGAGAAGAATATTATCGAGACTTTAATTTTCTTTGAAACTGACGATGAGTAAAATGTCATTAATGAAGCAATTACAACAGATTTTTACTTTCACTTGAAAAGTTTCTCTTTTATGAGGCACGCCTTCTTGCAACGACAAATTCGAATACGAATTTGGAGAAAATGATTCTCACAATCAGTAAGTAAAGTATCGTGCAATCGAGAGATCGAAAGAAGCGAGATAAGAATGCATGGCAGCGGTTGATCGAACCTATGCGCGCACGACGGAAATGTAGATAGAAAGTCATACGGCCGATCTCTCGGCTACTCACTCAATACGAAACTGTACGTTGCCGTACGTTCCAAACCGGTTCCGAGCTTTTCGCCGGAGGGGCCCCGTGACTCGAACGTAACGACGCGTGTTCGAGAACGATAAGCTGCTTGCCCACGACTTCTTGGCCGCACGGCACTAAGAAGTGCGACGCGAGAACATTTTATCAACCGATAGAGGAACATGCCCCAAAATTCGCCCCATCGACCAATAATTCCATTACACATCTTTGCCATTGTATTGTCATCATTGTAAAAAGCCCCACCCTAAGCTATCTCTCTGTTGACGATAAAAGGGTACTCTTACATTTTATGTATATACAAGGTATCTTAAAATACGCGAATAATATAGTGGGAGAGACTTTTCGATAAACTTCAAGTCGATATATTTTTCTCACGAAAATGTCAAACGGCTAACTGCGTTGTATGCACAATCGTCGCATATTGCATTTTATCAGAGGTTCAAGAAATCAATGAAATATTATTTGGCACGTGAAAAGCCGAAAAGCAAATTCTCCTTTAATGCAATTCTAATTTGAAATCTTTATTTAAATTGGTTTAAATATGGGATCCCACTTTTGTGTCAACAATAAGAAAATAATCCATGTTAAAAATTCAAAGATATTTAAGATCTTCATTTTTCAAAATTAATAATCAAAACTCCTTTTATTTATTTCTAAACTTATCTATAAACTTATTATATTCTGTACTATTATTTTGATTTGGAAAATCATGTGATATTTCTGTCGTTTCCGAGTTCAAAAAATAAATGTGCACATTGAAATTACCATCACTTCGGCCACCGCATTGATGCAGAAATTCTACTAAACGTCAGCTTCTTTTGACCTGACTTTCACAGTACACCGTGTGTGCATACTCTCGCATCGCTCGCAAAAGCCTACAACGTCACCCGGGTTCAACTTTTGTTCGACAAATTGCTCTTGTCGGAACAACGATTACAATCGATGGACACGTTAACAAAACAAAGGAAAAAAAGAGAAAAGGAAGAAAAAAAGAAAAACAAAACCCGGTGTTCAAAATGGAAAAAACGGGAATATACGTGCGCGCAATATCGTAGCATGGTTGTTGCATGCGTGTATTTATTTATAACAAAGGGTACCAAGGTATAACGCGACAACGAGAATAAACGAGACTGTCCGTTGCCGTGCGCGCTGTTTCGTGCCAGCCGCGACATTGAGCATTGAGTAGCGCCCTTCTTTCCACGTCCTTCTCTCAACATTTCTAATTGTAGAGGACAAAAAATGTTCCAGTGGTTAAGAAGACAGGGACGTCCTGTCCCTGCTCGACGTATTCGACAAATATATGTATAAGAAGAAAAACATTGCAAGTTGGTACAAAAAATGTCTTTCTCTCATTCTCTATAATTGGATAATATCGACTAGCCATAACAAATCCAATTGTACATTAATATACTTATAAAAGATTTCATATTATAAATATTCAGACAAAACAGTCTTAACTCGTTCTATGTACCAAAAAAATGATACAACTTGACTTGTATCGCCGGATGCATAATTCAAGATGTGATGTAATAAGATGATGTTAAATTTGAAAATCACAAAGCCGAAACATAAACAGCATGCGACAAACCTTGCTTGAAAATTAGACAATAGATTTGTTCGCATCGCGTGTACTCTGTACATACTCGTTACACTAGTTTCCGCATTTCGCTTAACGATTTATCGCATGCAATTCCATCTAATTGATACTCTTCCAATCAGCGACAAATTAAAAAAAAAAAAAAATTAAGAGACATATACACGTGCGTACACGCGCGCGCATATATTATTTTAAATAGAGCCGACATACATAACCTCTAGTATTCAAAATGTGAAATTCTTCAAGTTTCCAGATTTATATATAGGAAGACTTGAGGAGAATCAACAAACTTGATGCGAGGAGAGCAATGCTAACAGTATTAAGTCGCGTATGATACGTAACAACGCGGAAAGAAGGTTAAGTATGCATTAAATACAAGAAGTAAGAAGTGCATGTTAAACGCGAATAGATAATCGTTTGTCTTCCCATCGCACGAGTACTTTGTCCCAGTCAAAGAGGGTCTAAGATGACTTTCGCAACATCGCGGGAAGATCGACGAGTATATCCTCGGACAATGGAGAATAAACTTACCAAGTCAGAGCCGATCGGTCGCAAGCGCGCGCGCACGGTTGTATATCCTCGCTATCAACTGATCGTCCAAAGTTTCCGAAGAGACGCTCTTTCGGAGCAAAGGGCTGCGTGCAATATCTCCAACAGTAGTCTCCAAGTCCCGTCGTGTAATCAAAGGGTCCGCCGAAAGAAAAAAGAAATGGGAAGGAGAGAAAGAGAGAAAAAACTAACGGTTGGCACAATAAAATATAACACTACAAAAGAACACCACTCCGCGCCGCCTTTTACAAACGCGTCATTCGATATAACGTCACTCGGTAATGTCATTCGATTGTCGCACAATTTCGCGCGGCAATACCGATGATTCGCGCGAAATAAAAAGGCAAAAGAAAAGAGAAATCGAGCCACGCGCGTCACACGCAGAGAGAGAAAGAGTCTCCGACCGCGGCACGAAAAACATGTACAGGACGGAAACGAAACGACACACACCACTCACCGCTCGAATCGCAACTGCCGCCAACCGCAAGCTGCTCGGACTCGAAGCCTGTCTCCCCCCCCTCCCGTCACACTGCGCGGACGCCGCGCCATCGCGCGGTCGAAAAAGCACCTAATTCCTCCCTCCCTTTCTTCGTCGCCGCAACGCGGCGTCTAACTCCATCTCGCTTCCCCTTATTCGTCTCGTTCATTCTTCAGTCCGTCTTATTCGGCCTTCGATGGTTATTCTTTGGTACTCGAACACACTCACACACGTACTACGTACACGAGATCATGTTCATTCTCGATCAAAGACCCTGCAAGAATCTCGTGAATAGTTCTACGGAGGAGAGAATGCAAGAGGAAAGAGCGGAAGTTGACTTGAAATAAAATTAATTATAGTTTATTTTTGACATGCGTCGATACCATTTTAAAAAATATATATTAGCGCCTCAATTATTTAATTTGTATTTTATATTGCCACACGTATACACACACACGTGGCAAAATATTATTTGAAAGCGCAACAAGTGTTTACGAATAAAGATTACGTTTTAATACATTGTATTTTGATAACTATCTATTCTTCATATATATTATACCGTGTGTAAATGTAGAAAGAATTTTTGTATATTATTAGGACATATAGGACATGCGGAAAATTGATAACATATCATGGTGAAACAGTTTACTTTCCAAAAAAAATGCTGAGGCGTATTGAAGCGATTTAATCATTGTTCAATTCTCAATGCTGCAATTGTTTTCGCATTATTATTCTATATATATAATAATTATATATATATATATATATATATGTAGGCGTATCTTTTATACTGAACTGTAGCCGTATCTTTTATCGAATATCGAATCGATCAATTAATTATTGATTATTGAAATGTAGGAATGCAGGGGAAGGCCGGATGAATTTAGTTGAATCAGGAAAAGAAGTCAGGTTCGGAAGATATATATATATATGTATTTATTGCGAGTCGAAAACGTCTTCGCTGTCCAAGTCCCGTTTCTATTCTATCTTCCTTCCTGCCGCCTCGATATTAAAGATCGTCTGCCGGTTCGTGAGAGAATGCGTGCTTGTATCTCGATGAAACGCTCCGAAGATGATGTTCTCAACAACAATGTCCGTTACTCAAAATCGCCGGTACTTATACCGCTCCTAATTTTATCCCTTCCCGTCAGGCTCGGGCCAATCGCTAAGCGACAGCTAAACTTTACTCGGATTTTGTTATTCGAACGGTCGCGTCTGTTATTTTCTAAGCCGATCGCTTTCTCTCACTGTCACACACGGTATAATAAATACAAATAATCAAACCCGAGGACAAAACGACAAGACGCACTCGACAATAACGTGACAACGCGACACGTACAATACATCCTGAAAAATAATAATGATGCACGCTTACATATATATATATATATATATATATATATATATATATAACTATTAATGCTAAAATTGAAGTTATTTTGTTAATAATGAATTTAACGCTTATCTTATGATACATGATAAAAAAAAAGTTAGATTAATTTTGACAATTGAAGACAAATTAATTTTGTTCATTATTTTCCGAACAATCAAGTTTACGTATCACTTTTAGTTATAGTAAGTTTTGTCTATGTCTAAAATTTGATTAATTTGTCTCTTTTCACGTCTCTATCGAATTTTATAGCTATTTATTTAAAGAGCGAATGGAAACAAGTGTTTCAAATTTGACTCATGTATCTAACAATATTTATGCTACCGGTGCACTTGATATAACTATAAAAATATTCTGTATGTCTCTCTCTATAATTATATCACACCTCTTATTGAGCTTCCTAAAATAATTTATTGATGCAGATTACAAATTAATATTGGAAATATAAAATGTACAACATTGTTGCTATAAGAATATTTAAATTAGAAAATACTATTTGTTATTTTATAAAAGAATTAAATTTTCAAAATTATTTATACATTATAAAATAGAAAAATTATTTATTCTATTTATTTAAAAAATATGAAATAAAAAAGATAGAAAAATTTCAGAGAAAATTTTATATTTAAAATATATTATTGTATAATACTCCGAAAAAATAGAGGGGAGAGAGAGAGAGAGAGAGAGAGAGAGAGAGAGAGAGAAGCATCTATACAGTTTTTTTCGACTAATTATCTACGTAATGTGACATTTCTGCCATTCTCATTCGCAACATTTCATTCTTATTTGTTCGAGACAGCGTGTAGGCGTCGAAAAAGAAAATGTTCGTTCTCAGAATAGATGAAGAGAATTGACATTGTTTGAATTTTTCGACACTCGTTAGAGTCGTTGCTCGAATGCTGCATTATTAAAAATTAAAATTTAATCTATATTTACAGAAAATTAATTTTATATATGACAATTCGAGAGAAATTAAAAAAAGGCAAATTAAAGAAGTTTTAAACTTGATCCTATTTCAATTTTCTGCAATCGTAAATTAAACCTTCATTCTGAAATATCTTATTTGAATAGAATATTATATAATAAAACATATTTGAATAACTGTAATTAAGCTGAATATATGTATATTATGTAAAAAAATCTTTATAATTATTTAAATGCTTAAATGCAGAGCACTAAACATTTTTTTTATATTTTCTGGGAGAGAGAATTACTGCAGTAACTTGTAATTAACTAATCTTAAAAACTAATATTAGGAAAAATAAAACTAACCTGAGGAAAGATAATACTAAGAAAAATAAAACTAATCTAAGGAAAATAATACTAATATTAGGAAAAGTAATACTAATATTATAGGAACAATGTATTTTTGGCAAGTTCTCTCTAAGGTATTAAAAGTTAATATAAGATTGAGAAATGGCGTGTGCTTTCATTGTTTTAGTTTTTCCAAATTTTAGGATCCAATGTACGATTCATCGTTAGGTATTGACACGTCATTTTTCAATAGGGATAATTAAAATTGAAAATATACAATCATATGGATACCTATATATCAAATTTCAATTCTGCTACAAGTCATTGCTTGTAAATATATGTATATTTTTTCTTGTTTAGCTAGTTCTTAAACTAAAGCAATTATATAAATATATATGGTCATTATAAAACATGTACATAGCGCACGATACACAGTATAACTATGTGATAATTTTTTTTTTAATGAAAAATAATAAAATAATTATTGAAGCAGTTTCTTCGAATCTGAAGAATTAGAAAAATTTATTAAAATGCATTATTCCAATTTACACGTTTATGCATATACATATTATACATATATTATTATATACGTATACCTATCGCGTCAACGAAAATTCCATATCATTAACCGCTAATAGGTAATATACTGTTCAGGCGGAGTGAAATTTTTGCTTGAAATTTTCGATATCGATATTATTGAATATTAAAGGATGATGCAATAGAATTAATCAAAGAACGCGGGACAATAATGTAATTAATTAAAATTGACCAATTATTTATAGCGCCGAAGAGTAATTGGTCATATGTTATCGTGTAATTCAAACAATTAGGCCGAATAAATGAAACATTTAACATCGCTGTGTCCTGATAGGGCGTAATCGTTGATATATCGCATTAAAAAATATTACAATAATAATCGTATTAGCGTGACAACGTGCGCCAAAGTATTTGGATGTGCATTACGCGCGGGAGTGAGTCTCTCATTAATTCGTAATTTGAGACAAACGCGATATTTGCGTATCGATGAAGCCACGCGACTGCTTTAGATCACGTGTATTTTGCATTCGATAATACATATAATATATATAAAAAAAGGTTCTCGCATATCGAATCGATTCGCACCAATTAATGTGAATTAACGTTCGTCTATAATTGTTGTGATTCTAATCGATTCTACTTTCTCTTCATTTAAGTATCGATATATTAAGGCAAAATGTAGAGAGAATCGAAATGATAAGCGCTTAAGATGCGATTAAGGTAATTGGCGTTTACGCAGTTGATGAACCGTAACGAGAATAACATTGTTGAGAAACCTGCAGAAGCAAAAGGTTCGCGTTGATTTCGCTTCCGCGGTAAACGTTGATCGAACGAATCGGTCGCACGTGTAACGCGTGCACAACGTGTACATACAACGACACGTTGAACGACATAACGCAGTTATGCGCGTACGCTCTCTTTCGCCGCGCGCGAGTTATTTCAGACTATAATAGACTGCCTCTTACATGCACGCGTAGCGTGTGTGTGTGTGTGTGTGTGTGTGTGTGTATAGCACATAGCACACGACTAGAAGTACACATATACATACGGCTGCCGGGGACGGATCGAGACTGGACAATGAGCGGCAGCGTGTGGCAAAGAGCAAGCTCCTATCGTCGGGTATCGTTGCAGAGATTGCAGACTGCGCGACGCTGCGTTGTAGCTGCACGCTGCACCATGCACGGGCGTGGCACCAAATCGCCTAATCTCAAACTAGACACCTATACAAGATATATGCGTATAGGGAACGTGAAAAGATCAAATAAGCAATTATGAATCAAATGTATGCCATGCATAACATATATGTTAAACATTTGAATAATCGTACACTTTGACCGCAACAAAATTTCATCTCGTCCTCTCTTTACCCTAATCTGTTTGCTCATCGCGCCACGATAAATCACAATTTTCCGCGATCATCGTGCTATTATCCGCATTGATTGTAGCCAGGTAGTTAACGATATCAAGGAAATCACGCATACATAATCAAATTCCCAGTTACTGACGGCAAGTTTTGATTTATTACATCGGGGAAAGTGAGAAACGAGGGAAACAATTGTTGTAGCGCACAATCGATATAATAACAGAGGGGGTCTCGCGTCAACTTTTAATTATTCTTTAATTCTTTTCAGTCAATATTTTCCCATTGAGAATTTTGTATACGTGACAGCGAGGTCATTATCTTTTAATTGTTAACTCATTAGAGAATTTTTTTTCCTTCTTTTTTTCAGTGAAATTGTCAGAGACCACTTAAAAAAAAATCAAATTTTGTTCTAAATTGGCAACTCGAAAATATGATTCACGAAAAGTTCTCAATTATTTGTAATGACATTAATGA